GATATCAACTCTGGTTCTTCGTTGATGATGATGGGACTACTTCAGCATTGTCAATTTTGAACTCTTGGTGTGTTCTTATTTGGTGTATCTCGTGATGCAATTCTGCTGTGGTTCGAGGTCAAGGCTATCTGGACTCATATGTATGATGTTGTATGATTGCTGAAGTTCCCTAATGCTCATCTTCCTTGCACTTTCGGTGATGTTTCGAAATTTCAGGAACAAACGACTATGTGCGATGTACCAGCGTCTTCTGATTAGAACCTACGGTCATTATCGCTTTATCTAGTCTGGAAATTGCCCCAAATACAGCTACAATGACCGTACGTTCTCTTAAGGGGCAAATGGTAGGTAAGGACTCCCCGAGCCTGGCTTCGAAACCACTTCATCATCATCCGCCGGCATGGCAGGAAACCGGAGGTGGGAAGGGTGAGAACGTGGATGGTGGGAATGCAAATGGCCGGCTTCAATGCCAGTGCCATGTCACTTCCACGTACGGGCCGCAGGCATTGTGGGAAGCCAAAGGCCAAACCGCACCTACAAAGGGAGGGAAGGCAAGGCAGGAAAGAGATAGCGAGCAAGCCACAGGCATGGTGGACACTTCAGTGCCATGTACCAGCCGCCAACCATGGAGGGTGGCCGATGTCAAACTGCGGGTGGCAAAGGACGGAAGGCAAGGCAGGCATTAAGGAGACCGAGATGTCGAATTTAGGGAGAACGACCCGCAGGATTTAGGGAGAACGAGCTGCAGGTACAGGGAGAACGAGCTGCAGGCATGGTGGGGAGTCAAATGCAAAACTGCAGGTGCCAAGGGACGAAAGGCAAGGCAGGATTTAGAGAGAACGAGCTGCAGGACTTAGGGAGAACGGACCACAGGATTTAGGGAGAACGAGCCACAGGATTGAGGGAGAACGAGCCACAGGCAAGGTGGGAAGCCAAATGGTGGAAGAAGAAGAAGAAGAAGAAGAAGAAGGAAGAAGAAGAAGAAGTGCCAAGCTTTGCTGAAATGCCAGCATGGTGTTTCTGTTTTTGTTCTGGCTGGCACCGCCAGCCATTTCGGTCCGTTGGTTCGAACTCTCCCCCCACCCCCCCTTAAATCGCCAGTTCCCACGAACCTAAGTTGACGGAGCCGATTTCGAGCAAGCTATTGCTCAGTTGGTTGGGCACGCAAGTGGCATTCAGGAGGTCATGGGTTCAATCCCCACTGACCACCTGCGGCACTCTTGGTGCAAACCAACTGAGATAGTTGGCTTCCTCCCCCCGTTCGGTATTGATAGGGTCTTTGGCCATCACAGGTGTGTGTGTGTGGGTGGGTGGGTTTTGTGTGGCGTGTGGGAGAGTGCTGGCCATAGACACCACTGTTACTCAATGCGGGTGGGGGAAGTAGATGGGAGGTGCAGCTACTGGCAAAATGCTTGGTCTTTGCATTAGTCGGGCCCCCCAACGCCGGCCCCACCCTACTCCCTGACCACCGCGGATTAGGGCGGGGGCAACATGCACCCCCCTTAATTGTTAGAGGTGGCATTGCTTGCAGGGCCCCCCTGTATAGGCTTACGAGTAGCTGTAGGTAGGTAGTGAAAAGTGAAATTGAGAGAAGAATATAGCTTTGTTTCATTAATTAAAATAATAAAATCACAAAGTCGCAAGCCTGTGAGTGTACCTTTTTTGAGTGGCCTGCCGCACCTTTTCTATGTGGCCTGCCGCACCTTTTCTATGTGGCCTGCCGCACCTTTTATAAGTGGCCTGCCGCTTTCGCTACCGGCCCTGAATAGGTTACAGACAGCGACAATCTCCCAACAACAACCGCTGACGTCCTCTAACCCAAAATTTTCCATAACAAAGGGCCTCGCTCCACTGCACAACATTCTAAATGTATCCGGAGCTGGGTTACCAGCCCGGCCACCCGGGTTGCCTCAGATTGGCCCGGATGGGCCCGGCCGGGCCAGGTCCTGGCAAAATCCAGGTCAAGGTCCTGGGCAGTCCCAGCGCAAAAGAAAAAAATATCAAAAAAATCTGAAAAAAAAACATGTCATGCAGAATTACAAATCAGGTCAGCGGCCTAGATTTGGTCACTTCTGTTCCTAGACTTCCTCAGGCTCTCCTGTGGTTGTTGACTGAGCTATAGCTCGTGAGCGAAACTGGCTGAAGCTGCCAGGATAACACCGGGTTGAATTGACCTACTATAATACATTTGCTTTGAGCAAAAAAAAAAAAAAATCAGGTCACGGTAACGGGCAGTCCCAGCGCAAAAAAAAAAAAAAAAAAAAAAAAAAAAAAAAACCCTGTGACATGCAGAATTACAAATCAAACAATGTTTGGCTGAGGGTCACCCCGAAATTCGTTAGGAGATCAAATTATTTTCGATACGACGCGGGAACGGAACGCTGCGGCCGGCGCCATGTGCTCTGCCCCCGTGTTACCGGGCCGCTAGTACGGTCCTACGATCAGCCGAAGCGCTACCACTGAGATAGCGCCCCGACATTCCCGATGCTTCACCCGCAAGGGAGAGAAGCAGCTATGGTGGCATAAGGCCCAACCTAGCTGAGTGTTTGGGAGATCACCGCCCCATGCCACGAACTGCTGTGCTCAAAGTAGCTAACCAAAGAAATGTAACGTCCACAAGTAGAGGACGTAGAGTCTACAAGCAGAATAGTACGGCTATCCAGAGAGACGGTGTCGGGACAGAAACCCTGACAAGGGTATCTGCCCTGTGTTTTCAATGTCGGACATGGTCCAATTTCTGGTGTGAGTTTTAAAGGGTTTGGTCTGATGAAATGGAGACACTGCTGAAATGTATTCCGACTCGTCCGTGATTGAAGGAATCAATTTTGTGCAGCCGCCTATCTACTGGCATGAATGACAGCAAAGGTAGATGGTATAACCGGACACTTTTGCATTGAATAAGTCCAAATAGACAAGACGGCGGATAAAATGTTAAAATAAAATATTATTTTGAATGAAATTGAGACGCGCGGCTGATAAGTCGCGCGATTCGGGGCTAAAAAGACAAAACAATTAGTTGCGCCAGGGGTGCGGTGACGGTGAGAAGGGCCAACACGGCTAGAGTGCCGTGTCTTTTCTAAAAAGACGGACGTCAGGGGTCCGAAGGCAAACCCACAACGAAAGGGGTGGCTTGTCGGGCCTACTAGACCTAGCCAGCCGGCTGGATGGCGGGGCGACTGCCTTTGGAAGGGGTAGGCAGACTGCATCTGCCCAGACCAGGGGAAGGCAGGACTTCACCTGCCTAGGCCAAGGAGTAGGCGGCCTACTGGGCCGCAACCCTTCAAATAGAATGGGGGTAGGTACAGCTCCCATGATAGGAGCTAGCCCAGTAGGTACCACACTGAACTTTCACCCAGAAAACA